TGGCTTTTTGATACAGGCTCTCACTATATAGCTCAGGCTGGCCTTGAACTCATGGCAATCCTCCTGCCTCAGCCTCCTGAGTGCTGGAATTACAAGTGTACACCACCATGTCTGACCTTCTTTATCTTTTTAAAAAAGAAAACTAGCCGCAAAATGCTCCATTCCACACATACGGGTGAGACAGTCCATTTCCAAACAACAGAAATCTCACGAGTATAGTGTGCCTTTGTTGTAATTCGTTTTTCGTATTTAACTAGACGGCACAGTTTGAAATTTTTCCGTTCTATTTTAATTTTTTTTTTTTTTTTTTAGACAGGCTCTTACTATGCAATTCAGGCTAGCCTGGAACTCGCTATGACCTCGAACTCGTGACAACCCTCCTGCCTTAGTCTCTCGAGTGCTGGGACTACAGACATGCACCATCATACCCGGCCTTTCTATTTTATTTTATGGTATTTATTTTTGCGGGGTGGGTACTGGGAATAGAACTCAGGACCTTGCACTTGCCAGGCAGATGCTTATGCCACTCAGCTATACCCTTGGCACATTGTTATTTTAAAACATAATACAAAATATATAGGCAAATGTTTCCTGTACAGTGCCAGATAATAAATACTATGTTTTGTGGGCTATAAGGTCTCTATCACTACTCAGCTCTGCCGTTATGGTATGAAAGCAGCAACAGACAACAGTGTATGGGCATGGCTGTGTTCCAATAACATCTACAGACACTGAAACATAAATTCCATACAATTTCGCATTTCACACAATACCACACCTTTAAACATTGCTTTTACCCATTTAAAAATATAAAAACCATTCTTAGCTCATGGGCCATAAAAAATAGACAGTGGGCACAAACTGGCCCATGAAGAGTAATTTGTAACTCCTGATATAAATACTTAATAGTTTATGATTTTACAGGCAACTCGATTGCAGGTATGACTCCTATTTCAGTCAAGAGTTTAAATTTTTTAAAAAGAAAAATAAAACAGAATTCATACCTTAGAACTAGAAGCACTTAACATGGTAGCTGAAATTCCTAATTGTTTTAAAACCATTAATTGGTCTTCCATAAGAGAGATCAGTGGGCAGATCACAAGTGTAAAACCTAAAAAAGAAAAAATCTACCTTAAACTTTATACCACCAACAGAATGAGCCGTGACCATTCACCTTCTTTACTGTAACTTGTAGGAATTATACAAGTTACAATTCAGGATTATACAATTCAGAAAATTTTCAATACAGTTTTAACAATACACTGCCTATTTCTTACCCTCACTAATAAGTGAGCTAGATATGAATAAATGGGCCAGCTATAGAGGTCCATGCCTTTGATCCCAGCACTTGGGAGGCCGAGGCAGGAGGACTGCCGTGAGTTGAATGACAGCCTGGGCTACACAGTGAGTTCAAGGCTAGGCTGAACTACATAGCAAGACACTGTCTCAAAACAAAAATTAAAAAAAAAAAAAAAGAGTAGGTGACAAACAAAGCGTCTTTGGCTTCTCTTTAGATGTCCCTCCAAAGCCTCATGCACTCATATGTGAGTTTCCTCAGAGGTGGCTGGATCTAGGATGTGTGAATACAGATTAAAGGTATGTGATAACTGAATTAGTCCACTGACTGGTTCAGCATAGTTCAAGGTGTGGATAATGGGAATGCCAGGTATGGGCGGCACAAACTAACAGGATTACAGCCTGGATGGAAGAAAAGGAAAAGGAAGGTTCACTGTTTCACTGTGTCCTGCCTGCCCTGCCCTTCTCTTCTCATGCCCCTATCCCCTGCCACCCTACCTTAGGACTGGCACCTCCACCGACTGTAAGTTAAAATAAACCTTTCTTCCTTTAATTTGTGGATGCCACCTGAGATGAATACACACTTCTCAAATGAAGAAATACAAAGGGCAAATAAATACATGAAAAAAAAAGTTCCACATCATTGGTCATTCGAGAGATGCAAATTGAAACAACTCTGAGACTTCATCTCACCCCACAAAGAATGGCTGTCATCAAGACATCAACCAGTAATAAATGTTGGAGGGGCCCTGTGGAAAAAAGGAACCCTTCTTCACTGTTGATGGCAATGTAGACTGGTGCAACCACTCTGGAAATCAGTCTGGAGATTCCTCAAAAAATTAGGATTAGAGGCCTCATTTAACCCAGCTATTTCCTTCGGGTATTTTCCCAGAAGAATTAAAAACATCATACCACAGTGATATATATGCACCCAGGTTTATAGCAGCACAATTTGTCTTAGCACAATCTTGGAAACAACCCAGATGCCCATCCACTGAGGAATGGATAAAACAGATGTGGTATTTTTATACAATTATTACTCAGCTATAAAGAAAAATAAACTAGAGGCTTTTATAGGTAAATGGATACAACTCGAGACCACACTCATAAGTGAAATAAATCACGACCCACATATGTAAACACCATATTGTCTCCCTAGTATAAGAACCTGAAAGAGTAAAAAAAATCTGAAAGGTACAAAAGATATTGTGAAAGGGAAAGAAACTGCTCAATGGGAAAGAACAACTGGGATGAGGGAAAAGAGAAAAAAAAGAAAGAAAGAAAAAGAGAAAAAGAAAAAAGAAAAAAAGGAATATATATATATATATATATACATATATATGTACACATACACACAAGATAGCTAGGATAATTGTATTACTAATATCTACTGGTTTATTGAAAGGAGCAGTTAATGTTAATTGTTTGATCAATATTGCATACCTGTATCTGGTAATATGAGCAACTACTTGGAAGATAACAATAAGTAATGCAACAACCATTGTTGATTTCTTACCATCTTGTTTTGAAATTCTGTATCTTTTTATTGTTTTGTGTTGCTTTTTGTCATTGCTTTTATTATTTTGTTTTTGTTCTTTTCCCTTTAAAGTAAAATTAATTAATTAATTAATCTGTGGCTGCAGTTATTTTGTCCCAGTAATGAGGAAGTAACTAAGGTACAAGATGAGTATAAGCTACTAAGCAAATATAAGACTAAACAGAACTTTGTACCTTATTCAGTCCTATAAAAATAAACATAGATTTAAACATTTTTAGTGATTAATTCACTATCATTTTTAAAATCATTATTTGTACTCTTGGCAAATTAATAGAAATCAGGTCAAATATTAAACAGTTACATCAGGGAAAAATTATCCCAAAACTTTCCAAACGAAAACAACCAACCTTATAATTAAGAATGTTAGTTGCATGAGTATTCTCCTTTTTGTACCATACTAATTTAGTCTAAGTAGAAATATGCAAACAATTTGACTGAAGATCATAATATGCCCCCTCTCTCGTAACTGAGATTGTTTATAATTATAAGATATATTCTAAATTATAAAAATTATATGGCTTTACATTTCTGCAGTTTGTTCCTTACAATAACCTGACAGAAGGCAGATATTTAAAAACACATATACAAATTATGAACTTACCAGGGCTTCTGGCCACTCAATTATTATCTCTCCTATATTTTCACCTTCTCTCTCATTTCCAACATTTTGCTCATTGCATTTAACGTGGTCAAATCTTTCTCACCTTTTGAAAAACCGTAGGTACTTTCTATGGTCTGAGTGTTGGTGTCCACCCCCGAAATTCTTTGACTGGAACCAAATTCCTAATGGGATAGTATTAAAAGGCAAGGCCTTTGGAACATGATGAAGTAATGATGTGAGGCCCGTTAGGAATATGATTAATGCCCTTGAAAGAGATGGAAAGGAGGCCCTTTCTGTGAAGATACAGCACGATGTCATCTCAATAGGCCCTTGTGAGACACCGAACGTGCTGGTCCTTGATCCTGGACTTCCCAGATGCCGAAACTGTGAGCACTAAACTGCCATGGCTTATAAGACACCGAGTCTGAGCCATTTTCTTATAAGACCTCAAACGGCAGCTAATTTACAACACCTTCTCTTCTTTCTCATTCTTTTCCAAAGAGTGCGCCGTGCTGACAAGCTCCACATTTTTAACTCTTACCCACTTCCAAACTACTGCTATTTGCTTAACATAAAAAAATGAAATACTTCACTCTCATGGCTTTAATGCTATCTTCACACTAACAGCCTCTAAGTCATGTAACTTCGATCTCTCACACCCAAGCTTAAGACCAAATATTCTTCGTCCCCTAGGTAGTACCACCTGGATGTCTTTGAGGCATCACATATTTGTATGTGCCAAATTGAATCCATCATTTTCTCTTTATCCCCATTTCTAAATAAGTTCTTTCTCCAGTATAACGTACTTCAGTATGTAACTAACTTCTATTAATATAGAGACAAATAAAACAAAAATACACTTGATTTTTACAAGTTAAATTGGGACTGTGTTTGAAAAGGATTTTAAAATATTAGAAAAATCATTTCAACTTAAAAGTCCCTCTTACAAATACTTACCATCTGAACATAATGCTGGTAACTGGTAACATAAGCTCTTCCCACCTCCTGTAGGCATAACAAGAAATATCTCCTCTCCAGCCATTGTTACATTAATAGTTTCAAGCTGAAGTGGTCTGAACTTCTGAAGTTTGAAGACATTTTGCAAAACATGATTAACTGTATCAGACCATGGAAAATCTAGAGAGAAAACACAAGTTAAAAATATGGGCATTATCAGGATTACAAGGGAGTCACAAACATAACTGACTGCTTTTACGGCATATAAAACTCAGACACACGTACTTAAGATGTTTAATATTGACAAACCCTAATATTAAATTTTGGTAATAATAATTTTGAGGTTAGTGCAACTCACTAAACTAAGCAAATTAAATGATATATTAAGAAACAGAATATAAAAAAGGAAACATTTGCCAGTTGAAAATTCATGCAAACAGAAGAGGAAAGTGTTCAGTGAGGTATTTGAAGAACAACCTGAATGCTGATCAGGAAATGTCTACTACCATAAAAAACTAAAACATCTTAACCAATATCTGGAGTGTTTGCTGTAACTACCTTGTATTTAAAAGTCAGTCACTGGGAAAAATTCTCAAAATAGAACCACAACTCCTTTTAGAGTTATAGTATTCTGTTATAATAAATGATAAACATAATGCTGCATTAAAGATTTTGAATTAATCAAGAATGGTTTGTTCACTATGGCAGGAAAATAAGCAAGGCTTTGGCAAGGTGTGTGAATAATTTCGGTGTTTTTTTTTTTTAGTTAAAACTTAGAAAATTTAGCTGCGATAAATATCTTATTTTGCAAGCATGGATCAATGTTGTTAAAACTCCTTTGGGAAAAAAATAAAGCCCAAATAATAAATGCTCAATTTAAAAATCACAGAATGTGGGCAAAGAAAGGGCTGCCTCCAAGTTTTCCACTCCAATGAAAGAACGGCAGTTTCACCTCTAAGCCTGCTAGAAAGCACAGACCCAGGCAGAATGATCTAAATTCTAGTTTTTAAAAAAGACAGAACACACAAAACTAGCCGAGAAAAAAGAAAAAGCAAACCTTCTTTATCCCAAGCCGCTGGTGAAGAATCACACTCTCTGCTGGCCCCAGCATCTGAATTCTCTAAACACTGCTTTATTTTCTTTGTTAGGGCTGATTTTTTCCGAAGAAGCTCCTGCTGCCTTTCCATAAGTTCTTGAATTTGAATATCTACTGCATGTAGTTCACTGCTCACAGAATCCAGTTCCTCGGTTAGAGCTACGGGGCACGGAGGAGAAACCATGACTGCCCACAGTTAATCACAATTTCGAGTTTCCTATTGATTGCTTGATGTTCTTTGCATAGAAACACAATAGTTTAGCGAGTGGTAAAGACTGTATATTTTGGTTTTTTGGGGGTTTTTTTGGTTTTTCTCCGGGACCAGGAACTGAACTCACGACCTTGCGCTTGCCAGGCAGGCGCTTTTGCCGCTGAGCTAAATCCCCAGCCCCAAGACTGTGTACCTTCAAGACTGTATATTTTGAAGGTACACAGGCTGGGGTCCAATCTCGGGTTTGCCTTCTACCTGCTGAGGATCTCAGGCCAGATACTCACCTCTCTCAGTTTCCTCTCATAAAATGCGGGCAGTACCTAACTTTCATGATATTAGAAAAAATTAAGTGTGCTAACACATTGAAAGTTCTTGACAAAGTATTGGATTAAAAACTTAATAAATCATAGTTACTATTTTTATTATGTCACAGAGCAGTGGTCCAACAATCTCCTAAGTCATCTACACAAGGTGACCGGACTGTGAAGCAAAATGAAATTAGCCCCCTAATTATTTCGCTACCGTTCCATGAACACATTTATATTTTGCCCGTTATGGTGTCAAGGTAAAGAGCTGCTAATTATAAACAAGATGATGTAACAAGTAAACAAAATCTGTGCTACTGGAGCTGGTAATACAACTTCATCAGAATTAACTTATAAAGAAGCCTCAAGGTATGACCCTAATCAACCCAAGTATTAAAGTCCAGATGAGATTTGTTTTGACAACAATGGAAACTAGGAAAACTATAGGCTGGTGCTTCCCAACGCAGTTGTCTGCACTAATCAGTCACAATGCCACTTCCTAAGATGAACTTTTACTGTGGAATTAAAATAGGATATAGTCATGGCTTTGTGTTGTACCACCTGCCCAAATTCACTGCTCTGCATGATTCTGGGCTGGGTGTGGCCACAAGTGACCCCTGAAGGATGGAAAAGGTGGAACTGAGGCAGCAGCCACGTTTCCATGGGGATGACTGGCACACAGTCAGATACTACTGCAGCTCATACTCACTGGCAGACATCTGTTGGTTCACCTTATTGGAATGGCGCAAAAGCCAGTTCCTCCAGCCCCTGCTAAATCTCCTTGGGGCAGCAAGTTAGCCCACAGCTTCTTGGCTTCTCTGAATCTTTGGTTAGGTTTGTTAGCAATTTTCTGCATCAAAGGTACCAGCTCTTCAACAGGATCCCACCATCCTGGAACTCAAAGCCCTGGGGAAGGGATAACATACTGACCCAAGTCCCAGTGAGGAACCAATAGGTACCGCATTGTCTCCATTTGATCCAGCTTGTCCTTGCGGGTTCCAGCTTATCCCACAGGGAAACTCATGCATACTTGACATCAGTCTTGCTCACTGCGGCCGCTGCTGACCAGAGAAAGCTGCCTAACCAGCTCCATGATTGATCACATAAGGACTGATCCCTAGAAAAAACCTCTTATAATACTCCTAATAAACCTTCTCATTGGAGTAAATCCTAAGTACCACCTAAGTATCCCAAGCATCGTGATCCTTATGACAGAAATTTAATGGGGTCTCTGAACTGCTGTTGGGCCACTTCAAATTGACTCTCTGATCTGACTAGATTTAAGAGCATTAAAGACCCTTTTTCCCCAGGTAAGGGGGACATAGCTGTTACGTGGCATGCAGTAGGAAAAGGTATCTCGATAATATTCTGCAGACATCAGTAAATTAAGTTATGTAAGGAAGGCAAGGCTCTAGGTGATCAAATGTTTGCTGTTACAGAACATTCTAGTGAAAATTATGGAGTTGGATGGTTGCTTTTATGTATGCAGACAATCTGAAGGGGAAAATGCACAATCTTTATTAAGCAACTTTTACAGTTTGTGTGTGGATGTCCCCCAAAAGCCGCATGCAGTCATGAGGTGGGCTTCCAGAGTTCATGATTGATTCATGGTCCAGCGTTGGGATTATGAATGTCAGTGCTATGCCTGCCTTGGGGCAGGCAGTTTGCACACAATGTAAAGGAGGGAAAGAAGCTGCTTGCCTCTGTCATCTCCTCCCTTTTGCTCTTGGTGCTTTTGCTATTTTCCACTGCCATGAATAGTTGCCCTCTGCCATGTGCCACTCTGCCTTGGAGCCAGCCAAGTATGGACTGAAACCTCCACAAACTGTGAGCTAAATAAAACCTTTCCTTCCTTAATTCTGGGTATCAGGTATTTTGTCTCAGCAATGACAGAAAAGTGACCAAGACAGGGTCCTTAAAGTTTCTATGGTTGTCCTGAAAGAAACTTTTATTGCCTAAAACTACAGGGCCAAGATTTCTGAAAAATTAATCCTAAATCTAAATCCTACAGGTGGCTGAATTATGATGTGAATTGAATTCGCAACCTCCCAACAAATTTCATGTTACATCAAGGGGACTGGGAAGGAATATAACAAAAATTGGGATGAAAATGTAAGAGTAGACTCCAAAGAAGCAAGGGACTTGAACCACTAAGTTTTCCCAAATCACTTTTCCCCTGCCTCCCCCATCTGGAACTATCTCCTCTCTCCTGAAATACCTATAATGGCCCTTACTGTATTATAAGGGATTGCTAATCCTACAGATGGCTCTGATTCTAGTAAAGAGTCTGATTTGAATCATGGTGACACAGTCACAGTCCTTCCACCAACTTTCAAAGTTGAATAAATTCATAGGACCAGAAACACATGAATAAAGTCAAGATTGGGCCACCTTGAGAAAAGAAGATACAGCTAAAAATTTATGTGGTAAATCTTCCCATTAGTCTTCTACAGAGAAATATGGCAGGGTAACTATGCTTTGGGAAAAAGAAAAATGACTTTGAAATTACTGAACATTAGTACTGGCATTGATGCTAACTATAGAAGAACCATAATGTCACTGTGACCCACCAGTCAGAATATGGATTGGACTTTACATAAGTCAGCAACTTTGGTTCAGATCTGGCATGCAAAGGGCTCAGAGGGTCATCTCTCTCACTGTGTGGTTATTGTCCCATAATGTAAAATTCGAAAATACACACACCAAGTAGCAGAACCCATACACTGATATCCTGGCCCATATGAGGGCTACTATGGGTAGAAGAGGTCAAGTGGAAGCCAGTAAAACTGCCTTTATCTACCAACACATTACACCAAACCATTACTGCATTTCTGTAGGGTTTACAGAGATTTGTCATTCACATCAACAACTTGAAAGAACACATCTCCATTCAACTTGTGCTGCCTGTGAAGAAGACAAATAGATCCTAGAAGATGACAGAGAATTATAGAATATCAGTAACACTGTGGCTCCAAAATCAACTGCTGTTTCATGTGTGATTTTATTTATGAACACAAGGTATCTCCTAACATGTCATGGCTCTTCATCTGCTGAATGCTTTACTCTCTATACCTTTACAACTGTTGCAAAAGACCACCCGAGGAAGTTTGCAGGGCCCGCAATATACCTTCACTATCCCATCTCAGAGCTTCACCAGCACTTCAGTCATATTCTAACCTGCAGGGATCCTGACTGTCTCCTCAATCCACCAGACATCACCCTGGCTCACTACACTGATGACATCAGGCTTATCTGACTTGCTGAGCAAGAAACAGCAGAAACAGCTACTCTATACAAATCTATTACCATAAACACGTCAGAGACGGAAAACAAGTGCCATAAAAACTCAGAGGCTTGCTACTCTGGTGAAATTTCTAGGAGCCCAAGGGTGTGGGACAGGTTGAAACATCCTCGCAAGGTGAAGGACAAGTTTCCACATCTGCCCTTTCTTATTACTAAGAAAGGCATGCAAAGCCCAACAAGATTATTTGGACTTGAGAAACAACAAATACTTCATTTGCCAAGTAACTCAAGAGGCTGCCCATTCTGAGCAGGCCCCTGAAATACAGGCACTGCTGCTATAAATCCTTTCTTACCATCAGAGCAGATGTCCAACAGACCCAATGGTGACTAAAAAGTCTGTGACAAGCAGGGATATTAGGTGACACCTCTGGTATACAGGTGAGTCACAACACAGAATCAGGATTTGGGGCAAAGCTACGCTAAGCTCTACAGATCACAACTATCCTCCTTTTAGAAACAACGGGCGTGCTCCTGAGTCTCACCAAAGACTAAATTACCATGTGACTTGTGCTGCCTATTGTGAAGAAGAAATCATCTGGTTCATCAACTTATAAGGCAGACTGCCATCATCGTAATGGAAGTGGTTCAGGCAAAAGTGAGTTCAAGTAGGTTCTGGGGAAAGGCAGGAACAAGCAAGGGGTCCAAATGTTTGAGGACCGCTACCCCACCTCCTCCTTGTCAGTTTGGGGGTCCTCTGTAACTACTTCCTTACTGTTGGACTGAGAAAGGCAAAAGGTGCAAGTTTGATGCACAGATTTGCAGGATGTGCTGGCACTATCCAAAACTAAACGACTAAAACCATTCATAGGCCTGGAATGTAAGGGGGGAAGTGGGGGTAGCTCCTGTTATTATTGCCCTCATTCACTTGCCATTTTATTGCCAGCAAAATCCAAATTTTTGCTGCTCATCTGCAAAATTTTGGACTTTGTTAGTCCGACTTTCTACTTATCAAGGAAGCAATGCTTCTACCAGAGGAAAAGGCAATAGTTCTATCAGACTGGAAGCTGAGTGTCACCTGGCCACTTAGGGTTGCTCAGATCAAGAAATCAATAAAGAAGATCACTGTGCTGGCTGGGGCCGGTGACCCTGATTATCAAGGGGAAACAGGATTGCTATGACACTACAGAGGTCAGAAGGACTTCCTCTGAAACGTAAGGGATCCTCTAGGATACCTCTGACCATTCCTATGTCCTGTGATTAAGGTAACTGGAAAATTACAACAACCAAATATAAGCAAACAGCTATGGTAAATCTATACCCAGCAAGAACCCATAACCAGCTGAGGTGCTTGCTGAGGGGAAAAGGTATGGAATAGCTAGCTGAAGAAAGCAGTTATAGAATAAAAGCTATGATCATATGGCCAGTTTAGAAACAAGAACCATAACAACTGTATGTTTTTCTTTCTTATTTTGTTACTTGCATATATACCACATTTGTAGGAGCGGAGTGTTTTTGTTTGGCCCTTTCCTCTTGTTTGAATATCTAACGTAAAATGCATTATTAGTAGTTAACCTCATATGTCAAGATTTAAATTTCAAGATTGTCAAGAAAACTATGATTCAGCAAACACAGGAATAAGCATCAATCAAAGATCAATGACAAGATTTTGCATCCCCCTCTGGGGAGACAATGAGTACGTACTTGGTTGTACAAGGGACAGTTACATATAAGCAGAAGTGTGATTTTTGCCACTGCCTTTACTTGGAAGTTAAATACGACTAAAAAAGGAATGTGTAGGTCCAAGCACACACAAGGTGGAGCCTGGTGGTTCTGTGCTATAACAGCTGGCTAGAACTATGTTTCCTAGGATGCTTGCCCCTGCAGAGTTCTAGATTAGGGTTGCACAAAAGAACTCTCTCAGAGATTTGGAAGGCAGGAGGGAAGCAGCAGACATAGTTTCCGTATTAAGAAAGGCAGTGCAGGATGGGAGCTGGTGACCTCACTGGCAACTCCAGCTGCTGCTAAAGAACCTTGGGGTAACAGTGGGGTCGACAGCAACTCCAGAGACTACCGGCTCCCCCTTCTGCTGGTTCTCTGAACCCTGTGTCAGGCTGTATGCAACGAGATGGTAAAGTACAGGTCTCCTCCATCATGGAAATTAGATTAGAGGCAATGAGAGACTAATACTGGCTTTAGTGAGAAACTAATTCTTCTTCAGAGGTAGTAGTTTGTCCTTCCTTCCCCTATTCCACATCCATCCTCTCTTCCCACCCACTAGCTCTGCTAACTTCAGGCCCAGTGCTAGACACACAGACAACACACACAGAGAAAGTTTAACCACTTCCCGTATCACTTAAGATTAATCCCTATCATATATATCCTTTCTAACTATCATGGTGTTTCCAATTCTCTGATCAAATTTTACCTGACACAATATTAATGTGAACCCATGCAACAATGTCAACATTGTACCTTAGACAAAATCCTGAGGGACTAAAAATATAAGAAAGTACAACTAGCTGGGCATGATAGCACACACTGTAATCCCAGCACTCAGAAGGCTAAGGCAGGAGGATCTGTGAGAGTTCGAGGCCAGCCTGGGCTATAAAATGAGTTCAAGGCCAGCCTGAACTGCATAGCAAAACCCTGTCTCAAAACAAACAAACAAAAAAAGTACAACTAGTTGTAATAAATCAGGGTATTTTAACATTGTTTTATTTAGAATCATACCATTTCTAATGCTGGCCTATACAACACACGTCACTATAGGATGTGAAATTTAAAAGTTAAACAAATGATTTTACCAATCTATAATGAAAGGAGCTACAAATCATAGGGCTTATTACTGCTACTATATCTCAAGAGTTTATTGAGGGGTATCACATTCCAGTGTTCCTAAACTTATAGCAGACACATGGGAGATCTCATTCTTTACAGATAGTACTCTTCTGTCAAACTGAAATTAACAATGAATGTAATTATCTCCCATGGGAAGCTAGCAAATCTAAAGCAACAAACCAAAGTGAATTTCAAAGAGGCATTTCAACTACAGTTCAACAACAGGGTAGAACAATAGAAGAGGTAACCATTAACTTCTTAAAATACATTTATTTAATTATTGAGTTATTTCTAAGTCAAATCTCACTGATAAAGTTTAAAGCTTTCTTTACTAAAATAACATGACGTTTTTTAAATGACCATATTGAACAGAGTTTGTGGTGAGCAACACCTCTTAAAGTCTCATTTTTGCCATGATGGGTCAACATTTAATATAATTTAAATTGTTACCATTTATTACTAACCTTCAGCCTGTGACAATGAATCATGAAACAAAGCTAAAATCTTATGTCATTATGCATTCATGTTTATATGTAAATAAATAGCAAACTTGTACATCTTGTTCATGATAGGTAGTATTCCACATTCAAGAGTACCATTTTCTTTTCTAAATCTGAAAAGAACCCTATCTTGTTCCCCTACTGGTAGAAGTAGTATGTAGCAACGGCCATATTCATTATACCATACCAAAGTCTGAAAATTTATCATGGTGTAAGTTCCTTACCCTGCTAAGCATCTGGTAACCTAACAGATAGCAAGATCTTGTTTCATAAGTACATTACAATCTCATGAAGTTTATAGAAACAGATAGACAAAAATACACCAAAATGCTCAAGTATTTGCATAGGAAAGTAAAATAATACACGTTTTTCTTTTATACTTAAAAAAAGATCTCAAATAACTCCACTTGCAGGAATTTACCTTAAGGAAATACACAATGTGACTGAAAAATACAACCAATATTTAAATTTTTAAAAATTTATTACAGTAAAATACACATTGTCATTAATTCTCAAAATATTCCCTGCCTTTGAAAACACTTATCCCATCATTCTTGCCACTTTCTGAAGCAGTTCTGGAAGCTGTTTTAAGTGCCTATTTTCAGTTGCACTATTGGGCTGCCTTGATGACTTGAATCACTTCAAAACATTTGCTTTTCCTGGTCCTTTTGGGAGAGAGCAAGAACTCGCAGGATGTCAGATCTGATGAATAAGGTGGATAAAGACATATTATAATCTTCCTACAAGCCCATTTTTCTGTTGGGTGACACTCAGCAGCAGCATCTACCATATTTTTCTTTTTATCATACTTTATAAAGACACTCAGGCAAAAAAGACTCCCAGAATTGCTTCAAGAAGTGATAAGAGCTGGGGATATAGCTCAGTGGCACAGTGCCTGCCTGGCAGGCACAAAGTCCTGAGTTTGATTCCCGGTACCAAAAAAGAAAAAAAAAAGAAGTGATAAGACATAAATATTAGAAGAAAGGGGGAGTATTTTGAGGGAGATTAATAGCAATGTACTTTTTACTATAACTTCTATTTAAGCATTCAGCATATAGTTTGATCACCCCATATACTCAGAGAAGCACAAAAAGATTTAGATTTAAATATGTTCAATACACCATTATTTACATTTTAAAAATGCACACAGCCTAAGAGGTTAAGTAAGTTAATACTGCCATTCCAAAACAGCAAAAACAGTACACAGGTTAAAGCAGAATAAACTAATAACACAGAATTTAACAATATATCTTTGTTCAGTTTTTACATTGTTTTAAAAATCACATTATAAACTAATATGGACAATTTTTAAAAATTTGTTAAAAAATAATATAACTACAGCTAACAGCATTAATTTGAGTAGCAGGAAAAGGATTTATATTTTATTCTTCATACTTCTTTAGGTTCCTAGAAGTGTATCAAAAGCATATTCCCGGGAACCTTGCACATCCCTAATGATACAGCCACACTACGGCAAGATGGTAGTTCCTCAAAATCGTACAGCAGTACCATATGATTGAGCAACCCTAATTCTAGTTATGCACCCAAAAGAACTGAAAGGCGGGACTTAAATTGATATTTTCACTCCAATGCTCACTACAGTATTACTCACAATACCCAAAAGGTAAGAAAAAAACAAAAAAAAGTGTTCATCAACAAAAGAAAGGAAACACAAAATGTATACACAACATGCAATGGAATATTGTTAACTTTAAAAAGGAATGGAGTTCTGACACATTTTGCAAAGTGGGTGAATCCTGAAGACACAGTGCTACAGGAAAAAGGCCACACACAAAAGGACAAACACACAGTTCCACGCAAAGTACCTAAAACAGTCCAGTGCAAAGAGGCAAAAAGAACAGTAACCTTCAGAGGCTGGGAGAAAGGAAGTAATGAATCATTTTAATAAATACAGAATTTCAGTATGGGATGATGAAAAACTTCTCTAGATGGGTAGTGGTTACGGCTGCACAACAATATGAGTGTCCTTAATATCAAGGAATCTTTCACTTGATAAAAACTAAATGGTTAATTTTGTTGTCTATATTTTACTATAATAAAAACCTGAAAAATTCATTTCTATAATCAGAATTTTTAAAACATTTCATCAAAAGACATATAATTCAAAATAGAACAAAATGAACTACAAAGAGTAATCACTTCCACTAACCTGAAACGGACGCCATTTCTAAAACTGAACTGGAGATCCAAATTTCTTTCTAGAAATGAAAGAACAAATATGGCAACAAGTTTTTATTTGGGTGAGTGACATAGATCAGGAGAAAAGTGTCTGCTTAACGTGCTTGGAGTCATGGGTTTGATCCAAAAACAACCAAAGAGGACCACCAACAATGCTCAATCAACTACTAAGATCATCTGTCACTACTAACTAAGCAGGAAAAAAAAAGTTAGAAAGTAAACTGTATATTGCAATGACCTTTTTAAAAGACGATTCTTCCCAAATGGAAAAGTTTCTGGATTTTGGCAAGATAATCAACATTTAAAACTACAAAAGTAGCTTCATGACCGTCCTGCTCTTACTCAGTCTACTTCCTATATAGAATTACGCCCCTCTAACATATAATTCTGAAGCCACCCACTGGGCTGGAATGATTGGTGCGTCTTTCCTGTCTTCCTAAATGGGAACAGAACGGCTACATTACTAAAAGTAAACAAGAACTTCATCCTACAATTATAATATTCCTTCCACAGACTGTAAAATCCTCCAAATCCTCCAGCAGGGCAAGTATTGAGTCACTTTACCTTTGTATTCACGTAGCCTAGCAAAGTGCCTTGTATTTAGGGCAGGACCATTTTAGCAGGGGCTATTTCCACGCTTCTGAAACAATAGGATCTATATCCAGTTTTCACTATTGTTTTCAATGCCTCATTGGCTGTTAACACTGTTCCTTCCCCAAATTATGTAACTTAATAGCATAAGGTATCTCAAAGTATATTTGAAAAGTAATAAACTATAGCAGGTCTGCAATTCCAAAGTATGAGCAAGATACCTACAAAAGGAAAAGAATGTGTGGAGTGCCAGCTTGTCATCAATATTGAACTGTACCGTGGAACAACAAGCTAGACCAGACCCACGTCTCTCCAATCCTAGCAACCTGCATTTACAGCCAGCAAGAACTTAATAATACCCTTCCTTACTCTACTGGGAAGCAGAGAAAGGAAGAAGCACCTCAAGCAGTATTTCCCAATAAATTATGCCTATTACTAAACAAGCTTTGACCAGGCCTCATGAGTTGAAATCTGTACAAAAAAAAAAAAGAGAGAGAGAGACTGGTCGGCAAGCGAAAGTCCCCGTAAAGGCCCGACTTCCATCAGCCGGGAGCAGTGACTAAAGCGCTGACTTCTCCCCTGCCTGAGTACTTGGGGAAGGAAGTGCTGGGGATACCCTGGCCTCACCCTCTGGCAGGAGAGGAAAAGATCAAAGAAGGAGCGCCATGCAACTGGCTCCTCAAAGCAGTACCAGGAGTTACCCCACAATCTCTATCCACAAAGGAGTCGCCTCTGACGCCCGGGTCTCCAACCCCGAGGCGCCTGGGGCCTCTGGTCCGCTACGCACCTAGTTCAGCCGCTCTCCAATAAAACCTTCCCGCCACCCAGCCCAGAGCATCCCCCTTCCGGGTCCGTACGTTCAGCTACTTCCAAACAACTACCTTCTCTAATTGGCCGGAGGGTGTGGCTAGCAGGAGCGTCATCCAACAAGACCACATGCTATTGGTTGAGATAAGGAGCGGACTTAGCCAATAGAAAGCGGATTTAAATGGGGGTGGGGGCGACTGCGTGTTTCCGGAAGACGTGGCGGCTCTCTTCTGGGCTGCTTCCCGGCTTCATTTCTCTCGACTCAGCTTCCCACCCTGGGCGTTCTGAGGTGCTGCGGCCGCTGGCCTCACCGCTGCAACCATGATCTCCTTAACAGATACCCAAAGTAAGCCCGTCTCCCCGTCTTCCCCGCCGAGAGCCCCGCACACCCCGCGCCGGGGCTCGCTCTAGCCCGCCGGGCGCTCCTCCTGGGTCAATGAATGAACCTCCGCGCTGGGGGCGGCGGCCTGCGAGCCGGAGCGGAGGCTGCCGGGAGCGGAGGGCAGCCTGGGGGGACGGGGCCGGACCCGCAGTGGCCGTCCTGGCCCCGAGAGTCGGGGGCTGGGTGGGACGCCCGAGCTGGGGAGCGGGAGTTTCAGTTGGGCGTCTGGGTCGCGCCGCTAATATTTGACTTTTGCCACGCCTGCAGGCAACTTTCCAAAAATTCTTTGCCATGACTTCACTTTACTACCCGCCGAAAGTTCAAACAGTAGTAAAAAGCCACTTTGTGAGAGGATTTCCTTCTTTAGTATTGTAGATTGTGCTCTGTGGCTTGCTTTAATATTTTAGCATCTTTTTCTGCCTGCCACACAGCCCACCCCCGGACTTTTCTCGTCTCTAAGGTTAGCATTACGATCTCCTTCCTTATCTTTCATTGTAATTTATCCACTTTTCAACCCCTACTTGACGATCTTAATTTTTTGTGTTTTTATATATCTGCCCGAACTCTGTGCTGCCTTGTATTTTGGTGGTCATGATAATTTTTGCCTGCCATACTTTTCGTTTCTGACTGCACTTTTTCAAAATTTTATAAATTAAAAAGTTCACTGAGGTGAAAATAGAACTTCATTTAAAATGCTTTGTTTTAAAGTGGAGTCTTAAGGTTAAATTCAAATCGTGGCGGACCTGAACTCAAGTTTCTGAAGTTTCCCATATACGTTGGTGCCCTAATCAGGCTCTCTTCTTTGCTGAAGTTGAACTGGGTCCGGATCTTGGGACCACCGGCTGTGGCCCAGAAAGAGTGTCCATTTTAGTAGATTTTCCTCTCTTTGGCCTCATTCCATTCTGATCAAGAAAAATAAATTATAAGTACAGTCTTCTTTTTCTTAATCTACTATACATATATATGAAATGTGAATGATTCTGCACATATTCTCTTTTATTAAAGACTTAAAGATGAGTGCCTCATTTACATACTTCCAAAAACCAAAACGAGCGGGTAGGGTTGAACTATGGGCAGAATAGGAAGCCTTCTCACTTTATGAAATTTGTGAGGAAGGTGAAATTTTACTGTTGATTCTTCATTTACTAAACGTTTTAGAGCGGTACAGTGAATGGAAGCATATAATGACTAGTCAGCCAAAAGATTTTGAATTTCACATTTTGCTTATATGTCTGTGCTTGATTGCAAGGGACTGGCTGTCTTTCAAGTGATCTGCCAAGATTATTGTGAGATTTCAGTTCTAGAAGAGAGTGACCAAGCACCAATCTTAATAAAATGGCAGTTCCTGATTGTTTTTAAGGTGTCTATAATTGGCCTCTTCCCTATTCCACAAAAAAAAAAAGTAAAAAAGAAAAACCAAGATTTATTTAAGGGGGTAGGATGGAGGATGTTCCCCTTTCCATCTGAGTTGTCACTTTAAGTTGTCACTTTGTTTTGTCACACAGGGTAAAAATCTACCATGATACTCAACTGAGTTATTCAGTACAATTGATACCCAGTTAAGTTCTTTTTGCAGGACTTGTTTTTTAAAAGGCGTAGTAACAAAGACAATATTTCTCTTAATCAGTTGTGAATAAGAGAACAAAATGCTAAAGGTGACTGCCATTGGATTATGCATGTCTTTTCCTATGAAATGCCCACAGTAGGCTTTTATATTAGGTAGGGGTTTTTTTTAAGATTACATTTATCAGTTTATTTCTTCTTTAAACATACAGGCTGGAGGCATGAAGGTAGGATGCTACAAGAGTTCAGACAGGAGTACATAGCAAATAAATTTCTTTTACTGGGTGTGATGCTGGTGAGAAGGAGGCAGCTCTGTGTAGGGCTTTTGACAGCCAGAAAGCTTAAAAATGAATAAAGACAGGGAAGAAGGCAATTCTGGAGATAAGAGAAGGTCACATGAGGCTAGTTTGAATCTTGACTCATTTAGATCAGGGGATAGTTGACAACATCAAGCCAATGAGAGTTTTGGCAGAGGTGATGCAAACAGCTAGCTGTCCCCTTCAGACACTAGATACAGCAGCGGGATGTTTTGGTTTCCATGTTGTAGCTGTAGAATCACTGACTATGGAGTGAGATGACTGGATCTAAATTCTAGCCTGACTCCATATCACCACCACCCACCCACACATTTCTGCTGATTGTGTGATCCCGGGCAAGTTACTTCATCTCTCTGGTCCTTGGTTGCCCATAGGAAACATGGAACCATTGCTATTTTTTAACTTCACAATTTTGTTAAAGGAATTGCAGGATCCTTGTATAATCTCTTGATTAAATGACAGACCAGGCTCAGATATTGTCCTTTTTCAGTGCAGTACATTTTTAATAGTTCTGGCACCTACGTAGTTACTTAGATAATATAGCAATTTTGAATTTGAATCACCCAAATATGCTTTCCCCAGAAGTTTGGTATATCCCAGTGTCCTTGAGTTACACGAGCAAACATAATTAACCTGAAAAAAAGTCTGGTGGGTAAAAGTATTTTATAACAGTTAAGCACATGAACTTTGAGCTCCAATAGACCTGGTTCAGATACTTAACCTGAAGTGTGACTTTGGTTGTCTTAAGTCAGTTATCTAAATTTCAGTTTCTTCCATCTATAAATTGATGTGATTGTGCCTACATTCCAGTAGTATTAGGGGGATTAAATTACATAAGCTCTGTGAAACACCTCATAACACCTAATTCGTGGTATACTCTCAGTACATAGTAGGTGTGTTTCCATATAATTTCTGTTCTGACAATCAGACATCTCAAAATGTTTACATAATCGCTATGATTATTTGTGAACAAATAGAAATTATTCTTGTTCAGGTAACTCAAATGTAATGATTAAACCCTAACTACTATATATTTAATAGAATTTTACTTGCTCTTGTATCTGTATTTTCCCCTAGGAAATTGTATCTGATGTATAAATCATTTTGATAAATTCTTCAAGATTTTTAAGCGTGAAAGGAGCTCAGCTTTTCATTGGAATTTATGTCTATGAAATATTTTAATTTGGTGTATTTACAGACAGGTATCTCAGTTCATTTAGACTAACTTTAAGAGCAAAGCATGGCTAGAATGGAAGATACTAATGATCAGGAAATTGAGGAGATGGGAGAGGTAGAAGAAGGTAAAGTGGATATGAATTTTCAAATCATCAGAACATTTATATATGGCTTAATTTTTTTGTTGTTCAGTAGCTGTGACCTAGATTTTAGCTTTCTGGAGCTGAGGCAAAAAAAGATTAAATGACAGATTAGAAATCTGTCCAGAATAGTGTTTTTAATATTGTGTTTTCAAAAATATGGTTGCATCTTCTCAGTCATTATCTGTATGCAGAATAGTACTTCTAGATAAAATCAAGATCAGTAGCTAGTCTCTGAAAACAAAACCAAAATGTTAGGGAGGTAGCTTAGCGGGCTGTGCTTGGTAGCATTCACAAAAAAAAAAAAAAAAAATCACCGCTTTAAAAGGTTAAGACTCTTTAACCTAAAAAGATAAGACCTAGAGAATGTAAAGTCAATGAAACTACCAATTTATATGCAGGTAGGTACAGACTTCAAAGCTTGTGCTTTATCCACAACTGTATATTCAGTACCTAGAACAGTTCCTGACCTCTAGAAGTGATCAACAAATTTTTGGTTTTAAATAAAAAAAGAAAAAAATCTAGAGTACTGTTATCAGGTATTCTTTGGAGCAGTGATTTTAGTACTCTAGACTTAAATATGTGAACAGACTCATAGTTTAGATAAATTTGCAGGTAATAAATTTGTAATAAACCATCCAGAAGGTAGAAGTGGGCCAGCTCAATGGTGCACACCTTGTTCTTGGAAGGCTAGCTCTGGGCTAACCTGGGCAAGGGAGACCCTGTCTTAAAAAGTTAAGTCAGGCCTAAACTTCTAAAAATTAACTTTTAAAATAATAGCTACCATAATTCTCACAGTATTTCTTGATGCTTCTGTGAGAAGCAATGTATAATTCAATGAAGTAAATTGTGATGACCTACAATGACATTTCTAAGTAAGTTAAAAAGAGAGAATTGATTTTAAGAAGGATAAGGGAGCACTACAGGTATTGTACATGCACATAATCATAGAATGTGAAAGGAGATAAATAAACCTATACTATATAGTTTTGTCTAAAGTCAGAGTTTCTTAGGAGGAAAAAAAAATACAGCCAAACCTTTAAAATTTGCATTTATCTTTTTTCGTCTGGTGTGTCTACAACATATATTGCTTCCCATATAAGAGTGAGGAATTTTCATTCATATTTTTAAATTTGAGATAATTGACTGACGTTAATTTGGTGTAGATCTTTGTGAATGTCATTACATTAACCAGGAGTGTCGGGGACATACTTCCTTATATTAGCCAAAAGAAAAACTGAATACTTAGTTTACCGGTGTTAATGTGACTTTCGCTTTTCTCTACCCTTAACTGTATAACTTACATTGCAGAAATTGGAATGGGATTAACAGGATTTGGAGTGTTTTTCCTGTTCTTTGGAATGATTCTGTTTTTTGACAAAGCACTACTGGCTATTGGAAATGTGAGTTTTTGAATATGTATTTTTACTAAATTAATAAGGAAGTTTTTACTTCAAATGAATTATTACTTTTGTCAAATTTGGGAGAAATAATTCACTATTACTCATATATAGTTACTGTTACATTTTTCTATTTCCATCAAGCAAAATCAGTTAGCTTACTGTTTAAATAAAATAGAAATACTCAATGAGATTTTCTAATTCTGTAAGCACCCTGTGAAATGTTTGTTATGTGATTTATAGTACATTAAAGGAAGGCTACCTCTAAATAACAGTTCAAAATCTATGACTTGATAGTTCTGTATCTTCGTAAGTTTATGAAAATGTTAGAAGTACGACTTCACATTTGCTTGATATATGTAAAATAAACAACTTTTAATAATCTTTTGAACTTTTTAAGGACCACATTTCTGTGTTGTTAGCCGACTTGCCTAGAAAGAGTGGACACTCTTTGTAAGGTGTGGTGCACTGCACAGGTGTGGGTAGTGCAGGAGATCCAGGAGTCGGGGTGACTTCTAAAAAGGCAGTGCAGTCCCTGAACAGAGCACATAGAACATAGTCACGTCTTAAGCATACATACCATTCAGCCTTTTAGTTGGAAATATGAAAAAATAAGAGATAGCAAAATTACTCAAACTGCATGTTTTAATAAATGGTGACGTAAACAGTTTCACCAGTGGGCTCGGTATATATCTCTGAATACTTTTCACTAAAGTAAGTGAATAGGGGATGGAAAAATTTGAAAAGCAACACAGGAAAAGGCAAGATTTTAATCATAGTTTCTTGACCAAGAAAATATACAAAATATACATAAACTTTTTAAATATCTGGTTGTATTTTTATTTCTGCTACCACCAGATATTCTGATATTAATAAACATAGAATCTTCTACCGGCTTTGCAGTGTTGCTTCTGCTGTCAGTTTAGCTCTATCCGTATTTCTCCCACCTATAGACGCTCCCGTAGCCCATGGTAGATACTTCAGACCAAGAGACCTTGGGGTGACATACTTATGGGCAGCTTTCCTGTCCATCCTTTGCTAGCTCATCTGCTTGACTGAGCCAGCCCCATCCAGCAAAAGCTGGGGAAACTACTGCAGACGCAGCTGCCCACTGATTCTCATCTTTGTTTCTTTATCTCCATTTAATCAAGATAGAGGAGTGAAAGGAGTGGAGCGCAACTACAGCGTGCCATGCCTAACCCACCCTTTGGTTCTGCTTCTTGGTAGTGCGCTGAGTTCTCTCTGGCCAGTTGCCCACATTAAAAGCCAAGCAAATGTGCTTCTTTTTATTATATTTAGCTCTGACCTTTACAAATTTATGCAGTGTGTTTAACTACTTTTTCTATGTTGCATTTTCTTTGTCTCTTAGGTTTTATTTGTTGCTGGCTTGGCTTTTGTAATTGGTTTAGAAAGAACATTCAGATTCTTCTTCCAAAAACATAAAATGAAAGCTACAGGATTTTTCCTGGGTGGTGTATTTGTAGTCCTTATTGGTTGGCCTTTAATAGGCATGATCTTCGAAATTTATGGATTCTTTCTCTTGTTCAGGTGAGACAATCATTTTATTTTCTCTTGTAATAAATGAAGTATTACAAAAACACAGGTGTTTATATCAGTATAAGATAATAACTTCCTTTAGTTTTTGTTTAGCCTGAATCTTACAGTTTTACAACAGACAGCTATAAAAATGTTTGTCTAATGTAAATGATTGTCTAAGGGTAAACTATCTTGTAAAGTATTTTCAGTGCAATAAAAGTCATTTTATTGGCACTGTAAGACACTTTGATATTTTCATTAACTGAATAATGATAGATAGATACCATAGGTAGATCCAGAATTTTAGTAAAATTTCAGTATTAGTAAAACCTAATACTTCATAATTCAAATGTCAGATCATTTGATGGCAGTTTGTTTTAGTGCATATACATAGAAAATTCTGTACCAAATATGCTCTGGGAGATTTGGGTCAACTAATATTTGGAAATGCCACTTAGCAGTCAGTAAACAATGTGCATGTGAAGAAGTACCTGTAAATACAGTTGGTTTTCATTATTGAAGAAATTCATAGCCTTTGCCTTCTGCTGGGTACTATATTATCCACAATAGCTGTAAAAGGTTATTAGTGCCAAATCTGCTTTAGGGAATTTCTAACGTGGGAAATAGACTGTAAAGATACCAGTAGGATAGTGTCATAAGCTTAAAAGTGTGTAAATTATTACAGTATCATAATCCAGGAAGACATTAATAAAGTCAGACAGAGGTGAGAAATGTTAACTGATAAACTGGACCTTAAAGAATGAGTAAGAAGAACCATCCCAGAAAATAAAAAAGAGGGGACATTTCACTGGCAGAAAGAACAGAGAGGACCTGGAAAATACACAGCTTTACCAAAAAGAATGACTGGTCCAGGAGGACAGGAGCATGGGGGGAATGAAAGGAAACGGTCTGCAGTGGGACTGAAAGGGAGGTCTGGAATGAGGCTGCAGGTGTATTCTGAGTGACTTGTTACTTTATTTTCTTACCAAATCTGAACAATGTTGAGGATGGATAGGGAGCGCAAAGATTTCTAAGTCAGTGATATAGCCAGACTGGTGTCTTAAAAAGAGTGTTCTAACTTCAGGATAAAGTATGTATAGAAAAACTAAAGACAGAGAACCGAGTTCAGAGGTGCTTGATGTGGTACAGAATACAGAATAATGAAACTGGAATTCTTCAGCAATCAAACTGAGACAATCTGAGCATACAACAGGGCTACCTCTCCCTACACTCTGCTCACGTTTTGCCAGTAATCAAAATTATTTATATTGATAGTAACTTAAGGGTCTAAGTTTGACGTCCCTAACATACTCACAAATGTGGTAGGGTCCTTTCTTCGTACTTGATTAGTAATTGATCGTGGTGACAGGAAATGCTGTTTTCAAAGAGAGCTCTCTTTCCTGTCTCTCAGGGGCTTCTTCCCTGTGGTTGTTGGCTTTATTAGAAGAGTGCCAGTCCTTGGATCCCTCTTGAACTTACCGGGAATTAGATCAGTAAGTAATTGTGTATTTAGCAATGTATTTTTAACCCACCAAAATGAATACGTTTTAATGCTTTTTACTTGTAGGAATATGAGTAATTGTGAAATGATTAAATGATGAGTTGTTCATTATGACATAAATGATCACATCACATAGATTATGGCTACCAAAAATACCAGAAAATAATCATTGCTAACCCTATAAAACCTAAAATTTTGTTTTACCATTTTCATTTTTGGTATTGTTCTCTATTTTTATTTTGTGATTTTTTTGATTAATCAAGTTTATTGGTACATTTTAGATATACGTAATGATCACATTCATCATAGGGAATTTGTACCTGTACATGATATAACTTGATTCCTTTTTTCCCATTCCTTTATCCTCCCTGCAACCCCTCTTCCCCTCCTTATTTACAAAAGCTTTGTTTCCATTTGTTTCCTTTTCTCTGCCTTCCTCCTCCCTACCCTCAGGTCCTCTTCCCATTTGAACATTTTCTTCCCATTTCCCAATATCGGTTATACATTTTGGTCTTTAGTTATACTTAGGGTTTCTCATACCAGAGAAACAATGTGGTATTGAAATGTGTGTCTGCTTTATTTCACTTAAGAGTATGGTCTTAAGGTGCATTCATTTAGCTGGAAATGTCTTGAGCTTGTTTTTTTTATGGCAGAATAGTACCCCATTGTAGTAAAAAAAAAAAAAAAAAAAACAAAACACATCTTTATCCATTCATTGGTTGATGGGCATTTGGGCTATTTCCAAGATTTAGCCGTTATAAACTGTGCCACAGTATAAACCTGGGTGGCTGTGTATTGCTGTGGTATGATACTTTTAATTCTTTTGGGAAGATACCAACAAAGGGAATAGCTGGGTCAAATGGAACCTCTAGTTTTAGTTTTCTGAGGAATCTCCACACTGACTTTCACAGTGGCTGCACCAGTCTGCACTCCCACCAACAGTGGAGAAGAGTTCCTTTTTCCCCACAGCCCTGCCGGCATTTGTTATTGGTTGATTTCTTGATAATTGCCATTCTTTCTGGAGTGAGATGAAATCTCAGTGTTTTAATTTGCATCTCTTAAATGACCAGTGATTATGAACATTTTTTCACTGTTTCTACTCCTTCATCTGAGAAGTGTCTTTGCATTTCAGATGCCTATATTTGGATTGAGTCTTTAAATTTGAGGGGTCTGATATTTGTAATCTGAGTTCTTTAAAAATCAATAGTGTTCCTGTACACAAATAATAAACTCAATGAGAGACAAATTAGGAAAACAACACCTTGTTTACCACAGAAGACTTCCCTATCTCACAACACCATCAGGGACTTTTAGCCTGCTTCCTTAAGTTTTAGCACAAAATGAGATCCTTAAAGTCAAAAATAATATGGGTGATCTGTAACTCAGCAGAGCTGAAAGGAATCTTTTCAGCTGTAGGTCTGACGTGGTCAGAAGTATCACTGGTGCATACACTTCTTTGGATCAGTTTCATAGTTTGAAGTCTGTCCTGAACAATCAAGATAAAGAGACTTTAAAGACATGTTAAAAAGACTTCATGTTCTAGTTAGGTCCAAGGAGTTTCTCTGCTTCCTACAGATTTTTATAGATGTTTCTAGAGAGAAAATCCATAGCAGTCGTTGAATTCTCTAAGCGGTAAAGGATGGCTTAGCCAGAGGAAAATAAGTACCAGTCTTCACCTAATCTCGTTTCCATCCACAGGTTAATTTTAGTGTCAGAACCTTAGCGCTAAGACATCCGAAATATTTGAAGTTATCTTTGGAGAGAGAATATTACACTTTTTCTTCACTGAAATTTACCTTGAAATTCTAATGAGTTCATGAGTACTTTCAGGGCAACTTTTTGTGTATCATTTATCTATTTGTGATAATATTAAATTATTAACTATTAAGCCTAATTATTAATTCGGCTTATGGGAGTATATCCTGATTTCATTTGCCATCTATTTCATATAACCTCATATAATAATAGATGTTTATATTTAGAATAACTTGAATTTATTGAAACTTCTAGTTAAAAATTTCTAATTATTGTTTGTGTCCTTAATTTAAGAATTCTGCAGTGTTTGCGTAGATGGACACACACTACAATACATAATTGCCTTTCATTGTAATGATTAAGAATGTGACGTGAAATAAAAGAAATGGTTAGATGACTGCTAGAACTTGATGATTTTGTGACCATTTCGGTTATGTAACTTGTAATATACCCACTAATAATATTCTTTGTTTTAATCTTTACATCACCATCTGGAATGCTGAAGAAAGCCAAACTGCTTTTTATTTGGGGTGGAGTAACCAAAATGAATAATCATTTACATTAATGTGTGTTAAAATTTATATTTAATGGTTATAAATTTATGTTTGCATCATTGAATCTGTTTTAATGCCATTGTCACTTTCAGTCTGAAGTCCAGAATACACATTTAAAGTATTTCTAGTTGACAGCTGTTGTTAATAATTGAACTTAATGGAGTTAAATCTGTTTGTTCAAAGACTACATAGGCCCAGAAGAGATCCACAGTAATGGTCAGTGGAAATATCTTATTGGGTTCATTACTGCATGAATGGCTGGCATTTCAAGTTGTTATTTTTTGTTGTTAGTAGTGTTAACTTCATTTTATACAATTTTTTTATTCATTGTGTTGCATTTTTCATGTTGCACCCTTTAATTCATATGTATAACATGTCATGCAAATATAACTTTCAGAAAAAAATTTTATATACATTTATGTGTCAGAAAGATGGTGGTGAGTAACACTGGATTAATCATTGTCGGTCATACTCGAAATTTCCACAAATCTTAGAAAGCTGGTTTTTTAAAGCAACATTTGAAGTGTGGATGTGATGTTTTATAATGCTATAGGCTTCCTTTAATCTGCTGTTTTTCTTCTCCTTGCAGTTTGTAGATAAAGTTGGAGAAAGCAACAATATGGTATAACAACAAGTGAATTTGAAGACTCATTTAAAATATTGTATTATTTATAAAACCCTTTGAAGAATATTCAGCACAAACTTAAATTACACGAAATAGCTTGCAGTGTTCTTTACAGAAGTTTAAATGTCTAGCCTACAAAGTACCAACAGCAATTAGCGAAGAACCTGTGAAAATAGGCTTCTGATCAAGTGGTCTGAAAAATCAGCAAGCAAACTGAGGGAGATGAAATCCCTGTTACAGTGCGGATTGAAACTCTCGCAGGCTATTTTTCTTGTCTTTCCATGATGCGCGAAACAGCCATCCTTAGGAGACTGTGGTGCCTGTTACTTCTTTCTAAGGTTCAAGAGCATCCCAAAGCATTGGCTTTTAGAAATACCCACTGTGAGAGCAAAGATATTCCCAGTTGCACTGTGTCTCTGAAGGTGACGCATGAGCTGGATGGGATTATGTCGCTTGGATGTGTTCAACACGAGGAAAGCCCGTTTCCATGTCACCAATCACTTTTTGGTTTTGTAAACGTGATTAAAATAAAACTGTGTGGTTCTTCTGAAACTTACATTTTAAAGCCAAGTGGAACTCTGAACTAGACATTCTAGGTCATCCTTAAGTAGCTTTTAGTTTCTAGCTGACGAAGCAATTTTGCTCAGTGACACACTCCAGAAACACCCGTACTTCTTGGAAGTCCGTTCTGCACATCTGTTTGTATCGTTCAGTACGCGTAAGCGTTTGACAGAAGCATCCTTGACCCAGCAGTCACCTGTTACATAATCCAGTTTCTTTGAATGGTCTTTTATTTAAAATACTAAATGATGCATATCAAGTGGGTTTTTCCTTCATGATGTAGTTTTTCCTTATGTTTTCATTTTTAAATTCAGGAGAGGTTTATTACTTTTTTATAAATGAAAATAACTTTTGGCAATGTGTAAGACATGTAACATGTTACAAAACTAAACCTGTAACTTATTTTAGGGCTGTTCACTTAATGAGCTTTTGTAACACAAAAGTCAAAGTATGTGACATACGCTTCCCGTAATTACTCTTGACCTTGCATTAGAGGAGAAAACACCTGAGTTTATGCGCTGACGTTATTTTACCATAATTAAACTGGCTATGGTTTCTCAAAAACATGTTTTCTTTTTTCTTCCTGCCATTGCTAATCGACAGACAATAAGAAACAGCAATTATTTCCTTTTCTAAGGTGGCAGCTTTGGTTGTAGACATAGAAACACATTTCAGTATCCACAGTACTATTTGTTTTATGACTAATGATTGTGCTGTTTATTTTTTTGACACTGGGCAAAGCTTCTTACTACATAAAAGCATAATTGAAATTTGTGATATTTATTTACAAACGTCTACAAAATAGATAAGTGCTTCTTTTTCCTTAGTTGTATCTCTGAATGCACAAAGAACTCCCAATCTTGCTCGTCTACAAAAGGAAAGCCTTGGTATATAGTGTAATGGTTCAGCCTTGTGGGTTACTGTTGTACTTGGTACTTGCATTTGACTTTATGGTGTAATCTGTGAAAATGGGACAAACGGAGACTCCTACCTCAATAGTTCACGAAATAAGAGACCTAGTGTTGTGTCTGATGTTCTTCAAAAAAATCATATCCTCACTTGGAGAGTGTCAAATATATATTCTTTGAGAACTGACTTATATAAGGTGCCCTGTAGGACTCTTACACATTTTTGACTGACCCATATTAGTTCCAGTGGCTAGATAGTCCTCCCTTTTTAGAACAAGAACAGCCTCTGTTAGTGTAAGGAACATCTGTATCATTTAACTCCTTTGTAGACATGAATTTCTATCAAAATGTTCTTTGCACTGGTAACAGATCCCTTTTTCAGCAGTCTTATTTCAGAAAGTGTTATTGGACTTGAAAAGATTTGTAATCTCTGAGTCCTTAGGTTGAGGGGCTGGAGCAGTTTTCAGTTTCTAATGAAGGTGCAGTTAATACCGATGTGAGTGTGGGACTGCCTGGCAGCGTGTATTTCTTACTCAGAACCTTGGTGAGGCTCTATTTTTAAACATATTAGCCTTGTAACAAGCCCTGTGTTACTGTTCATTCCCTTCCAAATTCAGCCTTCTGTCTGTGATGAAGATACTTTGGTTTGTTGTTTCTTTTCTGTAGAGATGGAAGAAAAGGTCTAATACTACATAGCCTTAAGTGTTTCTGTCATTGTTCAAATGTATTTTCTGTAACAGAAACATATTTAGAATGTCTGTCTTTCCCCCTTACAAATTCTAATTCATGGTATACAGTTGCTTTTAAAAGTCTCAGTCAGATTATATAATCTAACAATGGAATATTGTAAATGCACTTGTCTTACCTCTCAGTAAAGGATACTTTTCTATTAATTGGTGGCCAAGTGTGTCTTTATTCTGAAATCCTGGTTTAATTTAGCACTGCAGAAAAACCCACCTCGTTTCCTAAAAACTAGTTAATTATGCAATTTTTTTCATGTCTACCAAATGATCTTAACATCTTATTTCTATATTTTTAATGTTGTATACACAGATAGTCTTCAAGTAAGTAAAAGTACTCTTAAATTTGAAAAGTATTTAAAAATTTAAAAAAAAAATGCCACTGGCCTTGGGCAGTATATTATTTAAGAAAGTCTGACTTAGCAGAGTTAAGCAGCCCAGGCCTGTAATCCCAGGCTGAGGCAGGAGGATCACAAATTTAAGCCCAGCCTGGGCAATTTAGAGATCTAGTAAGATTCTGTTTCAAGCACATGGAAGGAGGGGAGAATATACTTCATACAAAGACCTAGGTTCAATCTCCAGTACTGCAAAGAAAGATTAAGGTCTAAGGTCTGCAAGCATTTGGTTTTTCAGCAGATTTTCTAAGTATCCTGAGAACTGAAAGTCCTGCCCTGCCTGAGGGGCCCAGGAGAACAAGCGGTGGCATCTATCCAAGGAGAATTTGTAACTGTAACTTGACTTGTGAAGTCTTAGCCTCATTTCCAGGTAACTCAGCCTAAGGCTGGGGAGATGCCTCTAGCACAGCGCCCGCTTGGCAAGCACAGGGTCCTCAGTTCGATTCCCCGTACCAAAAAAAAAAAAAAAGAAGAACCACACACTCACAAATAACAGCCTGAATTGTACTACAAGTAAATGGTAGTAGAATAATTTGTGGCCTACATATTCTAACCCTTATTTTCTCCTCACTGAGACATTAGGACTGTGCTCTGTGACTGATTCTATTTTCAGAAAGTATCTTCAGAGAAAAAGTGACACCAGTTTTAACTCCAGAAGGTTTTTCTAAACATGATTTCTCTTGAAAACTCCATACACGTGCTGACCTTACCAAGTTACCATAGCAGGTTTTTCTTTCCCTTTTTTGGAAAAGAGTTGTAAGCCTAATCATGCAGAATGGTCACTCTCATCTGTGTGTCTAGAAGCCTGCCATAGAATTTCTGTTGCTGCAGGCAGCTGAGGCGATTTACTGAAAGCTGCTGGGACTGCTGCCATTACTTACAAAATTTAAAAAGAGGGCCGTGAACTTAGACATCGGTGGAGAAACGCTTTTAGAACTTTTCTGTGTAAAAGAAAACAATAAGTCATTACTTGAGTATTTATGGCCTAAACAGAGTAACTTCACATCTGCAGTGTTCTAATAATAAATCCAGTTAAGGCCAAAAATCACTGCTCATGTCTACCACCGGATGTACCAACCTAAGTACAGTTATTTGTTGGGTACAGTAATTAAATTGCAAGTCCATTGCCAGGTGAACTGAAAGGCTTGGAACTGTTAATGAATATCTACCTTATCTCTCATGTTGTCAGGAGGTCTTGTGCTGAATAAAGTCCCAGCCTCTGTCCTGCCTTAGCCGCGGTAAGAGGTTGGACAGAAGCTGTGTGCCTGAAACTCACTGACTGCTCGCTTCTCCCTGACTGCCCCTTTATGCAGCTCTCAAGGCCTAATTAAAATGCCACTTCTGTCACTTCTTTCCTCACCCACTCGGTCTATCCTCAGTCTTTTCCTACAACTATCTACTTGCTTTTTATTTGGTAACAGAAAAGATTCTTGAGGTTTCAGATCTCCCCTTACGTCTGTATCTCCAGCTCCTGACATTTAGTAGGTGCCTGGTAAATGTTGGTTGAATAGATGAAACCTAATTATTCCCATCTTTTTGTGATAGTGTCACTCTTGATCATTGGAATAAGTCTTACAGAGCAGATTTCTATCAGCCATGAAGGTGAACGATTTGGCCCCTGCAAAATCCCTACCATTCTGCTTCACATTTCTTGTGACCTGAAAAACCAACGCTGCTATACGCAGCAGCTCATCAGTGAACAGGAAGAATCATGAAGGAAAAAGTGGCTGCAGAGTGGGTGCATGGCTGCCTTTTTTCACCAGAAAAGGAGGCTACTGAGAAGGCTCAGAAGCTACTGCAAAAGTTTGAGGTGACCCACTGATGGTCAGTTTTCCTCTTGTGTGACATTTAAAAAGTGGTTTTATTATGGTGGTTCTTTTTCTAGGTAGTAGCTTTGTAATTAGAGTTGCTATTACAGAGTAAAACTCCCCAGCAGAAAATTACAAAGTGACTTTATGCCTCAGATGAAGATAGGCAGAAAGTGCTCTCAGCTCCAGGAGGGATCCTGGCAGCACTCCCTCTCAGATGGGAAACAGTACTGATGGTGAAGAGAAAGCATTTTGGTGTGGTCCACTGAGATAGCTGTGAGCGCTCGTCTTTTTTTTGTTGTTACCGAGAATCGAGCTCAGGACCTCAAGCCTGCCAGGCAGTCGCCATGCTGCTGAGCCATACCCCCAGACCTAAGCACTGGTCTTGACCCTACTACTAAGCATCATGTCAATTCAAGTTCTGTGAGCTTGCTAATAAGTGAAACGCAGTATCTACTATGCTACTGTAAAATTGAGTTGAAAAATAAATGTAAAAGGGCTTAAAATGTTAAGAAAATAAGCAGTATTATTGTCCTAGAAGTATTTCCAGTCCAAGACCCTTAAAATTTTCTTTTTTCTTGACTAATTTGGCACACTTGAATCTGGTAATAAGAATGACTGATCGGAAAACAATATGCAGTATAAGAACCATTGCTGAACTCCTACCGTCTTGTATGGTGAAGCTCTGCATCATTTCCAATGTTGGTTTTTTATTATTGTTATTATTACTTGTTACTGTCTTTGATCGTTTGATCAGTCTTACATTCTTAAGGCTGGTGAACTGAGCAACGTTGTTGAAGATAACAGTATGTAATGTAGCAACCATTGTAAATTCCTATCATTGTTTTGAGGTCATGTATCGTTTCTGTTGATTTTGTGTTGTTTTGATTCTGTCTTCATTGTTGTTTTGTTAAAAATAAAAATAAATTTTAAAAAAAGAAGTAGGACCACTACATGTCTCACCTTCTTTTTTGATGCTCAGACCTGGCTACAAATAATGTACAACCTAATTCACATTACAAAGTCATCAATTCACTTACCGTGTTTCTGAGGCTCACCATTTCCAAAGTGCTGTTGGGGATGGTATTTTGACACTTGCCTTTTATCCAAAACATTTTTGCTGTATCTTTTGGCCATTTTTACATGATCTACTCTAGTCCACCATTAACAGCCCTGTACTCTTAGTTACCCTGTAGTCATCGTTGTACCTGCATTCATGCATATTATGTTCAACTTACATATGAGTGTTTAAATATTCTAATTGGGATAACCATGCAGAATAGTCAACTTTAGCTTTGCCTACTTCACTTTAACCCTAGCTTTCTGGACAGTGCTTTTTAACACTCCAGAAAACTAGTATCTTTATATTCTCTTCTTCTCTTTTCATGTAGTTCTGAAGAAAGGATCCAGAAGGACTTGTAAACAGAAGAATTACTTTATTCCAGGACATAAATTCATTGGGAATCTAAACCCTAAGTACAAGGAAAACTGGGTAAAGACCTCGACCAATGAGCAGAAAGTTTTATTTTAGAGAACAAGGCTTCTGAATGACCCAAAGCCACTCCTAAGATCGATAGCCTTTGGGGAAAATACTTCTATCTTTTGGTGAGACAACTGTGCTAAGGAGCAGATGCCCTGGCAGAGAGTAAAGCCAACATAGGAAATGAGGCCCACACCCTCATTCGTACTATACCAACCCAAATCTCTTCCATCACTGAAAAAAGTAATTTGGATATTTTGGTACCACAATAACCATATTGTTCAGGGAACCTTTTCCAAGGTAGCAGTTGCTTACTATGTGTGCGCAAAAATCACTCTCCTTGAGCGAATGCATTTAAAAAGTAACAAGTAATTGTTTAAGCCTGGGCACCTTACAAGTCCATTGTACAAATCCAAATAGAATCAGTGAGGAAGGCAAAATGGTCTACCTTGATTGAGTATGCCTTTTTAAAAAGATTTAGGGGGCTGGGGATTTAGCTCAGCGGCAAAAGCGCCTGCCTGGCAAGCTCAAGGTCGTGAGTTCGGTTCCCGGTACCAGAAAAAAACAAAAACAAAAAAAAGATTTAGGGAACTATTTGTTCAACCCCAGCTGCCTGGTCAGTGTGTTCAATAGTTTATCTGTCATTTCCCTTTGTACCAAACAGTGTAGCCCATCTCTTGGTTTCACTCTGTAAAATCTTAAAAAGTTTTGTGACTTAACAAAAACATACTGGGGACCAGTTCCCTCTGGAAAGCCATTAAGAAGAATCATTCTGCTATGTGACTCTTGGCAAGACTACAATATTGATAACATGTCAAACCTTTCTCTTCGTTTCTGCATAGGAAACTGAAAATGGCAACTTTGATGTAAAACGTCTACTTGTGAACTCACTAGTTAAATTGTTATCAACAAAGCACATTCGTTTTCCCTAAAATTGAAAGTTCAAAGCATCTTGTATTGGTGACTCATTTTTCTTATCCTTCTTCCTAAAACCTTTATGTGCTCTTGGTATAGGGAGAAGAAAAGTCATTTTATTTGTTAAGCAACTTACTAATTGGGTTTCACATATGACTTCATTTAAAATAAACAGCATCTTTGATATAACTGATTGCTCCTTTTCGTAGCTAATTGTTTTAACTTGTTTCTACAATCCTTTGAAATTAAAATCTTAAAATCTAACATTTAAAGTAGAGTGACTATTTTACTCACTTTCAATGGTTAACATCTCTTTTTTTTGTCTTTTTGAGACAGGGTCTCACTATGCAGTTCAGGCTGGCCTTGAGCTCACTTTGTAGCCCAGGCTGTCCTCAAACTCGCGATGATCCTCCTGCCTCAGCCTCCTGAGTGCTGGGATTACAGGCGTGCACCACCACACCTGGTGGTGTGGTTTTTTTTTTTAATCTCCTTCTTATTCACCAACCAAACCTCTGGCATTCTAAGTGCAAATATCAAGCACCAAAATTCCAATCTGCCTTTTCCAAGTATTTGTGTGTACGTAATCACATCAGCCCTTCACACATCAATCTCAAATGAAGCTTAGCTATTCTGCCCCCCATTTCTTGCCATCCTCCCAGCTACGCAAATGCTCAGGTTTAGTTTTCCTCATTTCCTATATCCTAAACTTTGCTATTCAAAATGTCCAAGGGTCAATAGCATGCACCAGTGTCACCTGGCAGTTTATTAGAAATGTGGAATTGCACACCCCATCCCAGTTGTATTGAATCCAAACCACATTTCAGAAAGAATCTTCGTTGAAGTATATGCACATGGATGCCTGGGAAGCAGGGCCAGAACTTCTAAGGAAGTGCTGTGAGCTAAATGTCTGTATCCCCTAAAATTCCATATGTTGAAATGCTAGTCCTCAGTGCCATAGTTTTTACAGGCAGGACCTTTAGGAGTTGATGAGGTTGGGAGCGCCGAGCCCTCGTGAGTAGGATTTATGACCTTATAAGAGAGTCCTGGGAGCGTGCTTGCCTGCCTACCATGTGAGCACACAGCAGTACGGTCACCAGAAGAGGGCCCTCCTCAGTTGTGTTAACTTTCCGTCTCTATAATAGATGCCTGAGACTATCAATTTATGAAATAAAAAGGTTTATTTGAGCTCACTGTTTTGAAGATTCCAGTTCACAATCCAGTGGACTTACTGCTTTTAAGCCTGTGGCAGCACATCATGATGGTAGCTCATGCCAGGGATGCAGAAGAGATGAAGAGGAAAGAGCTAGGGTCCCACTTCACTTCAAAACCATGACCCCAGAGGCCTGAGAATCACCCACTGGCCCCAACTCCTAAAGAACCTACCATCTCCCAATAGCACAACTCTATAAAGAAAGCCTTAGGGACACGTTTCAGATCCAAACTACTGCACTTGTTTATTGTGTCATAGCAGCCAGAATGGACTGAGACAAGAGCCATCTCATCTCCCTCTCATGTCTCATACTTCGTAAGAAATATGAGGTACGCATCCTTGTTCAGTGTTTGCCTATCGATATAACTATTTCAACTAAACACCCATATACTTTAGATCCTGTTCCTCTGGCCTAAAAATCTTCCTATTTCTGTTATCTTCTCTTTCTTCGGCGTCATTAATTTCTCCTTCTCTACTGACCATCCCCATTGGAATTTATATCTGAAAATGATTTCTCAGTTATCAACACAAACCAACCAACCTGACTGACCTAAGCAAAAGAACACTTTATTAAAGTGACACTGGATCCACAATCACCACCCAGGTAGCACTGAATACTAGAATCTGCCACTAGCACTGTAGCTAGAAGTGCTCTAGAAATTCAATCTGGCTACCACCACTGTTGGACTCAGAATCTTCTTTCCCCTAGTTCAAGCCTCCATCTGAGCACATACCCTCCTGGGAAGGTCTGTGCCCTGGACCTACACTGCCTGCAGGGAGGGTGGAGAGTCCAGGCAGACTGCCTCTCCACAACATTCATAATTCATAATTTAGGGAATTTTAGGCATTTCTTAAAAATGAAAGGCTTCAAATGTCACTGAAAGGCCAAAGGAATAACAAATCCCCACTGAGCTCAAGTATTTTACAAAGGAAGTAAGGCAGTTCAAGGCCAGCTTGCTCAATTCAGTAAAAATAAAATAAGAGGGCCGGGGACATTGCTCAGTGGTGGAACCCTTGCCGAGCATATGTGAAGCCCTGGGTTCCATCCCTGATGCTGTAAAAGAGAAAACAATCTTCATTTTACCCTTTCCCTCATTTTGTGACATTTCTAAAGTCCTTGGCTTTATTTTTCCACATCTTATTCATTATTAATCTTGCACCCATCTTCAAAAACCATCGTATTTTCAAATGCACTGCATACTTCTGGACCTCATCTTGCTACTGGATAGCCTCTCTTGGCTTCCATGCCAACAGGATCCCCTGCAATTTCTCTTTTCTTTCTGATTGCTCTACTTGAACTTCTTTTTCAGTAATGGGAATCAAACTCAGGGCCTCACTTTTCTGACTCTGCTTCATTTGCTCATTTTCTGTATGTTTATTTTCGTACTTCTATCCCTGCCTCTTTTCTTTAGCACTATTCACTATTTTTGCTACCTTAAGATTCTTAGAATTCTTGAAAGTCTTAATCATTCCTACCTTTAAAA